GAGTAATTCCGGCCTAATCTTTTTTTCGTCGCTCTTAGCCAATCAAAATCGAGAATCTGCCGGTCCAAATTTGTTGCGGCAGCTATTCTATGAAGATAAGTAATCAATTAGTTGCCTGATTAGGACATTTCATATGAAGATTTAATAATACGACAAGATTTACTATAGGTATAAATGCTCAAACTTCAGGGCGGGCCCAGGAAGGTAGAAATTCGCACCCAGCCCTCCCTGTCCCACTGAATTGCATTCATCCATGTCTACAGCCGGCCTGCGTTACGCAGGTGGGAAACCACCGGCTAATCTTAAGCATCAATCTCAAGCGGCAACAGCTTGACCGCAATAACTCAGGGTCGACAGCTGGCCCGTTTATGCGGGTGGGAAACCACCGGCTGACCCTACAAATGGTATATATCAATTATACATCCGATGCACTGATGTATCCTATATATTTGCGCTGAACGAACCAATAAAGTTCAATATCCGGCATTATATGCTGGTGTGCTTCCAAAAAGAAAAATAAAAAATAAAATTGTTATTATTACATGTATATCACGAGCGTGCGATCCTGTTCGTACATTTTAAAGTACTTTTTTGGGAACGTAACATTTCACTTCGAAAGAACGTTTATATTCACTGTACAAAAATAATCAGAAATAATCAGTAACCCCGAGAACTTTACTTAGAAGACAAAGTATGCCTACCGTTTATTGGACCATATCGTAGAGTGAAGGTAACTGGAAACGGTAAGCTTCTTTATTCGAAGTTTGTTTCGTTTTTCTAGTACTGTAGTATTAATAAAATTATGTATTTTGATTGATTAATTATCTCGGGCAATCCTACCAATCATATAGTATAGGACAGCATAACCCGACAAACTGAATAGACTTTTTTAAAAAACTTACTAGTGATCCAAATTCAATTTTATTGAAAAAATTTTTTAGCCAAAAAAAATTTAATTATTATATAATTACAATTTGGCTAAATTAGTTTTTAAATTTTACATTTAATGGATATGATTTCACCTATGGCGAAAATTTTTTTGACAGTCAAAAGTATAAATAATTTTATGTCGAAACTGTCCAAATGTTATAAATATTTTAGTACGTCGAAAATATTAAGTATTTCAAAAATTTATCCTACTTCTTACTTTTTTGCCTTCAGAAAACCTTGGAGATTTACTCTAAATTTTGTCTTGCCTATCCTTGTGCAGTGAAAAAAGTTCAGGCTTTGAAATTTAGTGCACAAAATGCACATGCTATTTGATTATATCAACAAAATCGTGTGTGCACACCTTCATACTCGTTCATTTTATCGTTCATTTTCTTTTTGGAATGTTTCAGAATGTTTGTATTATGAATTCAATAATGACAGCTATAATAATTTTTGACATTCTATAATATTTTCAATAGTCGAATTTTTTCAACGATTTCAACCGGAGAAGTAAATTTGTCATGCTTTGGAGTGTAATGGCCATAAATTTGACACCTATGTATACAAATAAAGATAACGAATAATGAATCTCGTATAAACAGTAAGTCGGATTTTTTACCAGTAACTGAGATAAAATAAAAAGTATAACCTTTTAATATTAAGGTTATTTTAGTAATAACTGAGATTACAATAATCAAGATAAAAAAGTATATATTGAAAACTAATTTAGTATTAAAACCAGTTGCATGAGCAGTGATGTTAAATAAACTGGTCATTTGATCAAATTTTAAATGACTCCAAATCATCAAATAATGACCAAGTCATTGGATTATTAAGATCATTTAAGGTGGTTTAGGTAATTTGCGTATAAAATAAATTTATTAAACGAATAGCTAGTAATTGTTTGAAACTATTACTTTTCTAATAAAAATCATATATAAAAGTCAAAATTTTACAAAGGGTTCATGATCAACATAATTCGTCCAGCACTATGAAAAATTTTCTATGCGGTTAAACGGTTCCAATCCCTAATGAATTTGTTATCTTGAACTTAACGTTAAGGCTGGAGGTCCAATCCGGATAAATCCGTCATCCATTTATCCATATCTGGATATCCAATAGATAAATGGATAAACAGATAATGGAAGCTCTACTTAAGGCACAAATCTACAGTATCGATTATATTTTTTAAAAATTAATTTTATATGATGTCCGATTCTGATTGATTAAAAGGTATTAAAATATTAATTAACATACATTAAATTACTTTCTAGTTATTTAGACCTTTAAATGATCTAATGATAGTCAGAGCCATTTTGGTCATTTCAGGCTATTTAATATCATTGTTGTAGAATGGAAAATTAGACCATGTGATAGCATTCTTTAATGGTAATGAACATATAAAAAATAATGATGCAGACATTTCTCAGAGTAGTGACTACTTACGGCATTACGACTATAAGGTAGAGATCGTACTACCCCAAGGTTATCTTGCCGTGAGATAGTTGCCGTGAGTGATGTAATATGCCGTATAGCGTTACTACACTGAAAGATTTTGCTGCCCAATCAAATTTCAAGTAACCGTATCCTACCATAAATAATAATAAGCACTACACCCTATACCCCATTTTAAATGTCAGATTAGCGGAAATCGCAATGAAGTCTTTAGCCGAATTATTCCCGTTAATCTGATATATATAAAAGTGGGGTAGAGGGTGTGGTGCTATACACGGTAGGATACGGTAGACACAAAAAATTAATAGCTTTTGTACGAGATGGTTCACGCTATACACAATTATAATCAATTTTCATATATCACAACCAAGTTGCTGAATATACATAACTAAATCCTCTTTTGCCAATTTCTTTAACATTAGATACCGTATAAAAGCCCACCTGCGCTAATTACAGCTGTTTTCAAAAAGGTGTGAACAGGTGATTTTTATGATATATACATATGGGGGTGAGTCAATAGAATTTTTTATAATAAAATTTTTTTATAACTTTAAACAAGAATAACTTAACAAAAACTTAACCAAATTTAA